AAGCGGGAAAGGTACTTCTGCCTGCAGAAGGACCCCAAAAGCGAGGGGATAGATGCGCTAGCCCAGCAGTGGGAAGGAGACCTCCTTTATGCCTTCCCTCCATTCAGACTACTGCCGAAGGTGATACAGAAGATCCAGTTGTCTCAAGCCAAAGTTATTCTGATCGCGCCATTCTGGCCCAAGAGATCTTGGTTCTCCCGGTTGAAGGAGCTCAGTTTAGCAGACCCTTGGATGATACCACCCACACGCGATTTACTCACCCAGGGGAGGGTGATGCATCCTCATCCAGAAAGGCTGTCCTTAGCGGCGTGGCTTCTGAGAGGGACAGGCTAGCAGAAAAGGGGCTCTCGGCAAGAGTGGTCGCCACCCTCTTGGATGGCCGGAAGAGGTCGACGAACGCCTTGTACGACAAGGTCTGGAAGAAGTTTTCCGCCTGGAAGGTCAGAAACGAAGCACCGGGCATGCCCATTTTGCATACAGTTCTTGAATTCCTTCAAGCCGGGGCGGATAAGAATCTGGCTGCCAATACCCTCAAAGTACAGGTAGCGGCTCTGTCGAACTTTCTCGAGCTGAGGTTGGCGGCAGACCCATTAGTAATCAGATTCCTGAGGGCTATCTCCAGGCGCCGTGCCCCGTCCTTGCCAAAACTTCCAACATGGGACCTGGGCACAGTCCTGAAGAGCTTTCAGCGGGGGCCTTTCGAACCGCTGGATGAGTGTTCGCTCAGATCTTTGACTCTTAAAACCATCCTCCTCACGGCACTAGTTTCTGCCCGCAGGGTCAGCGAGTTGCATGCCCTTTCAGTGATCGAACCGTACTGCACCATCTTATTGGATAGAATCATCCTCCGCACGGACCCGGCCTTCCTACCTAAGGTCGCGTCACACTTCCATAGATCTCAGGAAATAGTAATACCTTCCCTGGAGGCCGATCCGGGCAGCGCGGAGGACTGTAGCAGGTTAGACGTTAGACGGTGTTTGATCACGTACATCGAACGCACAAAGACATGGAGACACTCGTCCCGGCTTTTCGTCCTATTCCAGGGGCCAAGGAAGGGGGACGGTGCCTCCAAGGGCACCATCGCCAGATGGATCAGGGAGGCAGTTTCGGAAGGTTACAAGTCGGCAGTCCTGTCACCACCGCCCGGCCTAAAAGCCCACTCCACGAGGGCCACTGCGGCCTCCTGGGCGGAAAAAGGGGGGGCCTCCCCCGGACAGATCTGCAGAGCCGCAACGTGGTCCAGTTTCGCCACCTTCACTAAGCATTACAGGCTGGATCTGATCGGCAGCAAGGACCAGGCATTTGGCAGGAAGGTCCTACAAGCAGGGTGCCCGCCCTAATGTACGTATTTCTATTCTACTCCTCTCAAGTGAGCTGTCCTAGAAGATGACTCGGGAAAACGCAGTTATTTACCTGTTAACTGTATTTCCAGGAATCTCTAGGACAGCGTAACTCCCCCCCTGATTACTGTTTCATCACACAATTATGTGCAGGTATGTTGCGAACCTATGGGGAATGTCTTTATTACCGGTTTTCTTCTTTGTTTTCTCCTAGGCCTTCGGTCATATTCTTATACTGGGGGCCAATGGGAGAGAGGACGCCTATAAAGGGGAAAAAAAGGTGGAGCGGGTGTTTCCTGGGAGGAGCCCTATCTCTCAAGTGAGCTGTCCTAGAAGATTCCTGGAAATACAGTTAACAGGTAAATAACTGCGTTTTTGTTTCCAAGGGTGGGAGAGGTCTGAGGTGTGAATTGGTCATTACAATGTGTGACAAGCTTGGTAGGAACATCCTGTGTTCAGTGTTTTGTCCATTTGAGTACCTTGAAAACGCTTTGCATGCATTTTCATGATGAAAAAAAGGCTCTGGACAACATCGGGAGCTGGAAGAGTTAAAAAAAAAAATGTGCAAACGCTTATAAACGCGATTTACCGCATTTTGCGTTTGAAGCATTGATAAAATCGACTGCTGAACACAAGTTTTCTGCGTTCAAAAAGACGACTGTAAACTCAAATGCCTGTAAACGAAGATGTATACATGGGCACATAGGAAAACATTAGGGTGAGTTCAGGGGCTGCTGAAAAAAACGCTGAACAGCTCCTAAACGTGAGTTTATCAGCTGTAGTGTACATGAATCCTGAAGGTAATCTGTATTTTGTCATCTATGAATTTATTGATAACCGGGTTCTCCGTTAAAATATGCCAGTGTTTATCAAACACTGAACTAATCTGTTTGGATTGATTTAGGGCTGAAACAATCGACATCATCAATTATAATCAATTATGAAAATAGTTGGTCAGCCGATTAGTTGGCCTGCATACAGAATGCATTATTTACATATCAGAAAATACAGTGCATCACACATATAGCTCAGTACACAGTCCATACATGTCAGTAAGTGCCTGGGAACTTGTGAATATTTGAAGTGCAATGCCTTGTTATACATGTAGTTCTGGGCAGGTGAAGGAAGTGAGTGATTCCAAAGGCAGACGTTTTTTTTACCTTGTTATAGGGGTACTTTATACTATACATTGCGTCTTGCTATAGGGGCACTCTGAAGGCAGGGGCAGCCAGAAGCGCCAGTGGGGGACCGCAGAAGAGGAGAATCATGGCTGCTCTGTGCAAAACTACTGCACATAGCAGGTTAAAAAAAAAAAAAAAAAAAAAAAAGGTTTACAAGGTCTGCAGAGAAAATCAGCATCTGAACCCAGACAAGCTGGGAGCTGGTAGACTGGTGGTAATATAAGGCATTACAATTAAATATAAACTAAAAGTATTGTCCATTATATTTGAATCAATATATCCATACAAAAAAGTCTCCACCTTTAGTAGTACTTTAATATAAAAGATTTATATCCCACTCTTCCACCCTTCCTATATAATATTACTTTCACTGTTTCACAGTATAAATGAACCCCTTATAGTAGTGATTATCTGCTGTTTTTGTGCTGCAAAGGGTAAATATTTAGTTTTTTTGCTGCTGCTAAATGTCTTTTGCTGGCCATAAACATATTCATTTTTGGACGAGAATATTCATACAAAGATTATTTGCATGTTCTATGAATGGACAAATGTCATTCGAAAATGTTACTTTTAACACTTAATTTTAAAATGAATGTAATTTCTGAACAAAAACCCACATATACTGTCTAGAAAACTTTTCTCAATCAAATGAACTTTCATTCTACTCCTTCAAATTTTCCCGTCACTGTGGTAAAAAATGGACGCTGATTTGACACGAAAGAACGTTCTTAAAGACAAAAATATAGAAACACTCCGTGATTTGCAGGTGTGAAAGTGGCAACTAATTTCTCGTGAAAGCGGAAGTTATGTAACATTCTTTTGCTTCCACAGTATGATGAGACACCTAGCTAACAGGTTGGTAGCCTCTCTTTCATCTTTCACTGCGCTAGTAATACGGAATCATGTCGGAACTTACTGAGCTTCAAAAAAAGCATATGGTCGGTGCCGCTTAGCTGGTGCCTCTGTGACTGAAGTTGCCAATTTATTTGTCATTTTTATATCAATGGTTATGATGGCATATACAGTTTCCGGGAAAACGTCGTCTGATAAGCATAAGTGCTCAACTGACCGGAAGACACAAAAGTACTTTGCGCAGGATTGTGACCTGGAATAAGGAAACAACTGCTGCAAAAGTGACTGCAGAGCTCAATCTCAGTCCTGTGAAGACTGAGATAGAGCTCTGCAGTCATTTTTGCAGCAGTTTTTTTATTTTCCATTTTTTCGTCTAACCCCTCTTCTGCCTGTCATTCTGAGAGTGGACTAGGTATTTTGTTCCCTAACCATATACCTGGTTATTTATGTTTACCCCTGCATATAAATATTCAAGAATAAATTCGGCTTTTTTAAACTTTTTAACCAAATTACATTCCAAACTTTTTAACCAAATTACATTCCAAACTTTTTGAGGTTTTTATCCAATTAATTGAAACAATAATCAGCCAACTAATTGATTATCAAAATAATCCTTAGTTGCAGCCCTAGATTGATTGATTATTGTTCTGTTTTACTGTCGGGGTATTACTATAGTGGGATAACTGGACAACCTTTTATTGAGGAAAACACTCGCTAAAGACACTGTGTCATCCAATGTCCATCAAACTGTTCAAACTCTGCAGAGATTCAGGTAGATCCTGAACCTCCAGAAGTTAGTGTTGGAACCAATTTATTGCGTGGAGTATCTAGTCCTTCTCCTACATACTTCTCTGTCCAGGGCCTTCCTTCCACAGGAAAAACTACAAACTGTCTGCTTCCATGTTCAGACACTACAATCCAGTAGCCACCCAACTCCCCTGTTTTTGCATGAGGGTTCTGGGCTTAATAGTGGCCTCCATCAAGGCAATTTGTTATGGCCAATATTTATCCAGATCATTGCAACTCTGCATTCTGGCAGAATGGGACAAACCGGCTCAGTTGTTCAACCATAGCAATGAGTCTGGCCTACAAAGGCAGGCTTGCCCTGGTCGGGTGGATCATGCGTCTAGCACTAGAGTCAGGAAAATTCTTCGTCCCACTGGTCTGGAAGGTTTTCACGATGGACAGTAGCCTGTTGGATTGGGTCTTATACTCAGTGCAAGGCACTTGCTGGAGAAAGCTTGTCTTTCAGTTTAATATACTGGAACTCAGAGCAATTCGGTTATCCATCAATTCTGGACTTGACTGCCAGGTCAACTGACCAGGAATCATTCAGACACCAGGATGCCAGTGACCTTAAACTTTATCATTTTTGGAAATAGTTTTAGTTTATAAATGTAACTTTACACTATATGACTGATTTAATTGCATCACCACACCTACTTGCCAATATATCTACTTTATCCTGTATAAAACACTTGTTAAATGATCTTTAAACCGCTGCTAATGAAGGGTACATCACTTGAAGCTATGTCCTTTTCCTAAAGATGGGGAATAATTGTAGTTCATTCTTCATGATATTTATTTATGAGTGTTGCCCTACTGTACATTTTTTTTTTTTTTTCAGGATCTCAGTGAAGAAACTGTAATTCTACTCCTGCGGTTGATTGAGGATGAACTGAGACCTGTAGAAGGGAGACAGAATGCTACACAAAGCTTGATCAGTGACTCTCTGCAAATCCACATCTCTGCCTGTATTCTAGCTCTTTGTGGATGGAACAACAGGTTTGTTAAAAAATGTTGCATACATTTCCTGTATCTGATTAATGCCACGTTTAAAAGAATAGTTCAGTTCATCTTTTTTTTTTTTTTTTTTTTTTTTTTTTTTTTTTTTGGGGCTGTGTGCTAACAAATAGAGAATGCCCTATCGGTCTCAAAAAACTCAAAAAATTTAATTTGGGTACAGTTTTGCATGACTACGCATTTGCCATTCAAAATGCGACAGCTCTGAAAGCTATAAATTGGCCTGGGCAGGGAGGGGGTGAACGTGCCCAGCACTGAAGTGAATAAAACTTATTTATTTAAAAAAAAAAGTTGGCAATTTAACCCCTTCACATCCTTTAAGGGGTTTCTGACGCCAGGAGGCGGGGCAGGGTTTAGGGCCATGTGACCACCTTGATTGGCTGTCATGGCAGTCACATAGTCGGAAAAGGTCCTGATCGCAAGGTGAGATCGGGACCTTTCTGTGGGACACCGACACGTGCTGGGAGTGCACAGGGTGCGCTCTTAGCACATGTTTGTTTACAAATGGTACGCAAATATGTGGCCCCTCAATGTCAAGGCCCAGCCGCCAAGAGGCCGCATATTTGCATACTCTCGGTGTGAAGAGGTTAAAAATAAGAGAGCTGGATACCACATATATCTCTATATGTCCTATCACACTAATAAGCCCCAGAAATTCTAACTGGTATCCACTGACTAATGTTGCTTACTTTTCCCATGCATAGGGATCACTACTTATCTTAACAAACTGGAAATTGTGGTTCCATGGGTGTAAATGTGTCAGTAATTTTGTCAGTTGATGTAAAGCTGAACTCCAGCATTCCCTTCAGTCTTGCACAGTTGTAAAGGCTGCTTTATTGTGTGTGAACTGCTATACAGTATTAATCTGCTCATTTTTTCAGACCTTCATCTGGATCCTTACCTCTGTCAATCATAAATTGTCCCCGTTGTATGAGGAAGATTGGATTGTGGAGCTACCAGCAGCTGGAGTCTGTGGATTTGGACAGTTCCTTTGGACCACCTAGTACTCCAGTATCTCCAGGGGAGGGTTATGGTGATAGAACACCTTTGGGACTGGTGTCTCCCAACAGAAGGGTCACTAGAAGCAAAGATATTGAACAGGTATATAAAGTTAATATCCTGTATGACTGACCAGTTAAAAAATATAAATATTAATGACAACTGCCTTCTTCATAAATATATGTATATAATGGTATTTTAAAAAGCTGCAAAATAAAGCACATCTTCAGACCTGAAACGAGATGGACTGAGAATGCCGATGTACTACAGGAGACTGTCAGAGACTGTGAACATGCTATAGGAGATGGTGGATACTGGGGACATGCTTCAAGAGAAAGTCATTGACTGAAGACAAATTACATGAGACTGTTAGAAATCATTGCTAGAAGAGGGCAATATGGAAACACAAAGTGCCAAAGGGCCGCAGTCTGGGCACCAATGATCTACTGATCTTGAAGTTTGAAAACCTACTTTGTGAAGATTCCCACAAATGTACTTCTTAAATTCTTTGACACATATTCACTATGCCCTGTGAGTAGGCATTGCTGTTTCAGAATTCGCAGAGGCTGCCCTTTTAACTACAGAGCTACTAAGAAAAGGAAGTGTCAGGAGGCAGAATCAGACCAGAAACCACTGCTTGAGGGTCAATTCACACTGACTTGCGCTAATATGTATAGAAAATGGATGTACATTTCTATCCATTTTAGTCATGCACTGACATCCGTTGACATACATTTTTGACATCTGTTGACATGCATTTTAGCGTGTGTTAAAGCGTACAGCATTTGCACAGGATATCCTGTGCATTGTGTTGACATCCGCTTACATCCATTACGTTGCACTAACATGCATACATGTTGCATTTTAGTGCAACGCAAGTCAACGCAGCATTATGGTGTGAATAGGACACATTGGAAATTGTTTTTTTAGCTGTCCTTTCGTTGATCTACGTTTTTACAGCTGCGCTAAAATGCAGATCAACGCACTGGTGTGAATTGGCCCTAAAATACTATGGGTTATGTAGTTCTTAGAAATTGAAAGTAAACAGGAAAGGAAAAGCTGCAAAGCATACAGGGAAACCAGGAAGTTGTGGAAAGAGATGGCCAGAAGACAGACAGCACTCACAACATGAAAGAAGATTTTCCAAGCTTAAAGCTTATATTGGATTGTCAGTAATAACTTATCGGTATTGCTATTACAATACTAATGTGTTGTAATGAGTGTATGAAGTGACCATAGATTTCCTTTAACTTGTATCTTTACATTTTTATTTTTTCTTTGGCATATGCAGATTTACATTTCCTCAGGTCTGGATAGACCCACATTAGAAATGTTGTATGTAACGCTCTGCATAATGTTTTTTCCATCTAAATAAACACCTAGGCTATAAATGCATGATCTCATAATGTTTTATTATTGTTAGAGTCCTTTGGCAGCTACCACCCAACCACTCAGTGGAAGTTCTACAGGATCATCGGAATCAGATGCTGTGCGGAGCCGGCCAGTGACCCGTAGCATGGGACATGGGGACAACCCAGGAGTGACATCTGAAGTCCAATCCAGTCCTCATCGTAAAGCCAAACGTCCCAGGCTCTGCTCCAGGAGCAGTATAGTAAGTTATGAAACCTCTTTGCCAGGGTGATCTGTATGTTATGATCTTTTTGTTTCAATTGCATCATGTTTGTATATCTTTTTATCTCCCTGCAGTTTAAAACTGTATCAAAAGTAGTTTGTTTTCTGTGCAGGATTCTTCTCCCAAGGGCTGCTTTGATCCACTGAATCAGCACAGAAGTTGGTGTCCATGGGTCACTATGGTTTGTGCACACTATAAAGAAAATGCAGAGAACAAGAAGGAAAATGCAAATCAGACAAGGGAGATTGGATGGAAGGAGGTGCTACGAGTGCTGCTATCAGAGGGGAAATCCAGAAACTCATCTGATGAAGATGCTACAGTAAGATCTCTAAATTGCTTGTAGCCACCTCAGTTCATACTTTTATATTGTAACACTGTCTTTTGTGTAAGCCAACCTGTCATTTTTCATTTTAAAGATACCAGACCACATCATAAACTACTGTTGTATTTTGCCCATGCCATTTGTGGCTTGCTAGCCCAAGATCTAAAGAGTAGCATATCTATATACAGTTGCAAGAAAAAGTATGTGAACCCCTTGGGATTACGTGGAGTTTTGCATGAATTGGGCATAAAATGTGCTCTGAACGTCATCTAAGTCACAACAATAGAAGAACACAGTCTGCTGAACATAATACTGCACAAACATTAGATGTTGTCATGGTTTAATTGCACATAACATGTAAACATTCACAGTGCAGGGAGGAAAAAGTATGTGAGGCCCTAGCTTAATGACTTCTCCAGAGCTAATTGGAGCCAGGAGTGAGCCAACCTTGACTCCAATCAGTGTGATGATATATTGGATGTGTTGCTGACAGCTGTCCTGCCCTTAAAAAACACACACCTGTTTGGGTTTACTGGTTTTCAAGAAGCACTGTCTGATGTGAACCATGCCTCGCAGAAGAGAGCTCTCTGAAGACCTACGATCAAGAATTGTTGACTTGCATGAAGCTGGAAAGGGTTACAAAAGTATCTCCAAAAGCCTTGATGTTCATGTGTCCACGGTAAGACAGACTGTCTACAAATGGAGAAAGTTTAGCACTGTTGCTACTCTCCTAGGCGAGGTCGTCCTGTAAAATGACTGCAGAGCACAGCGCAGAATGCTGCATGAGGTAAAGAAGAATCCCAGAGTGTCAGCTAAAGACCTACAGAAATCTCTGGCACATGCTAACATTTTTGTTGACACATTACAATAAGGAAAACATTAAACAAGAACGGAGTACATGGGAGGACACCACGGAGGAAGCCATTGCTGTCCAAAAAGAATATTGCAGCACGTTTGAAGTTTGCAAAAGAGCACCTGGATGTTCCACAGCACTACTGGCAAAATATACTGTGGACAGGTGAAACCAAGATTGAGTTGTTTGGGAAGAATACACAACACTATGTGTGGAGAAAAAAAGGCACAGCACACCAACATCAAACCTATCATCCCCACTGTAAAACATGGCGGAGGGAGCATCATGGTTTGGGGCTGCTTTGCTGCCTCAGGGCCTGGACGGATTGTTGTCATTGATGGGAAAATGAATTCCAGAGTTTATCAAGACATTTTGCAGGAAAACGTACGACCATCTGTCCGCCAACTGAAGCTCCGCAGAGGATGGGTGATGCAACAGGACAATGACCCAAAGCATACAAGTAATTCAACAAAACAATGCTGCAACAGCACAGAATACGCCTTCTGGAGTGGCCCAGTCAGAGTCCTGACCTCAACCCGATTGAAATGCTGTGGCATGACCTTAAGAGAGATTCACACCAGACATCCCAAGAATATTGCTACACTGAAACAGTTTTGTGAAGAGGAGTGGTCCAAAATTACTCCAGATCGTTGTGCAGGTCTGATCTGCAACTACATGAAACGTTTTTGGTGGAGGTTATTGCTGCCAAAGGAGGGTCAACCAGTTATTAAGTCCAAAGGTTCACATACTTTTTCCTCCCTGCACTGTGAATGTTTACATGTTATGTTCAATTAAACCATGGCAACATCTAATGTTTGTGTAGTATTATGTTCAGCAGACTGTGTTCTTCTATTGTTGTGACTTAGATGACGTTCAGAGCACATTTTATGCCCAATTCATGCAAAACTCTGCGTAATCCCAAGGGGTTCACATACTTTTTCTTGCAACTGTAGATCATATACACTTAGCAGAAACCCTTGTTACTGTAGCTAGAAGTTTTACAGCCAATCAGTCCAACAGTGTTCATCTTCACACCACTTCCCAGACATGCCCTATAATTATCTTTACATGGGAGAGAATTTTGATCTTGTATCTCTGCTGTTTTAGTGTCAAACATTCTGTGATATTGTAGAGTGTGGAAGCAGCATTTGACAATCACGACAATTTCTTTAAACTCTTTGGGTTGCTGTGACCTAGAAAATATTAAAGCCAGAGGATGTTTTTGAAATTTGTGCAATTTCACGTACATCCTCTCGACAATTTTAGCATACCACAGGTGAAAGCAATACTCAAAAAAAGACTTGCAAAATCAGAATGCTTGTTTGAAAATGTGCATTGCATTTTTTAAATAATTCTTTTACTTAAATGGCAAAACGCTATTCAACATGTCAAAATGCTGCGCTAATTATTTTTTTCCAATCCAATGCAGTAGGTTGGAATGAATGGACTTTGATTTTTAAACCATAGATCTCAAATAAAGGAAAGCTCATGACAACTTTTGGAGAATTGGTATTATACAGTATGTACCATTTTTAAGAGAACAGTGAGTAGGCAAAACACATTTCTTTTATTTCTTATGAGACTCATATTCAACTGTAGGTCATAACAGAATGGCACAATTATAAAACAAAACATGGCAACAAGTGAACAAAAGTCTACATACCCTTAGTTCTTAATACTGTAAATTGCCCCCTTTACCACCTATGACAGTGTTTGGTCTTTTGTTGTCTGAGGCCCCAAATTCTTGCAGGTGATATTGCTGCCCATTCTTCTTGGCAAAATGCCTGCAGGTCACTCTTTGGGGAGATCACAATGTCTGGTTCATGCAAGACGACCAGAGTGGCTCGATGATATTAAGGTCAGTAGACTGTGAAGGCCACTCCAAAACCTTCACCTTTTTCTGTTGTAACTACTGGAGGGACAACTTGGCCTTGTGCTTGGGGTCATTGTCATGCTGGAAAGGCCAAGATCTTCCCATGGGCAGCTTTCGCGCAGAAGAATGCAAATTGTCTGCCAGTATTTAATGAGAACATGCTGCTTCCATCTTGCCATCAATTTTCACAAGATTCCCCCTACCTTTAGAGCTCACACACTTCCAAAACATCAGTTAGTCACCACCATTCTTCACAGTGGGGATGGTATTCTTGTTGCCCCTCTCCAAACATGGTGCTTATAGCTGTGACCATAAAGCTCTATTTTGGTCTCGTCACTCCAGATTACAGTGTGCCAGGAACTGTGAGGTGTGTCAAGGTGTTGTTGGGCATATTGTAAACTGGCTTTTTTGTGACATTGGCACAGTACAGGCTTCTTTCTGGTAATTCAACCATGCAGCTCATTTTTGTTCAAGTATAGTCATATTGTGCTCCTTGAAACAACCACACACCAACTTTTTTCCAGAACAGCCTGTATTTCTCCTGCGGTTACCTGTGGGTTTTTCTTTGTGTCCCAAATAATTCTTTTGGAAGTTGTGGCTGCAATCTTTCTTGGTCTACCTGACCTTGGCTTGGTATCAAGTGATCCCCAAATTTTCCACTTCTTAATAAGTGATTGAACAGTACTGACTGGCATATTCAAGGCTTTGGATATCTTTTTATATCCTTTTCCATCTTTATAAAGTTCAATTATCTTGTTAATCAGGTCTTTTGCCAGTTCTTATCTGGTCCCCATGGCTTAGTATCTAGCCTGCTCAGTGCATCCACGTGAGAGCTAATAAACTCACTGACTATTTATACACAGACACTTAATTGCCATTTAAAAAGCCACAAATGTGGGAAAATAACCTTTAATGCCATTCAACCTGTGTGTGTCGCCTTCTATGTCTGTACCAAGGCCAAGCATTGCAGAGTATGTAAACTTTTGATCATGGCCATTTGGGTGATTTTTGTTATGATTTAACCATTTCCCTCCTGGCCTATGGCCAGATGGCGGCCGGCAAAATCCTTCAGCGTTCCGGGGGGACGCCATATGGCGTCCTCCCAGGCATGCGCAGTTTGCGTCCCTGCAGAGCCGCGCAGCAGCGCGGTCTGTCACCGGCCGTGTACCTCGGACACGGCCAATGACAGATCTGAGTACCGGCCCCATTGCCGGTACCATGTGACCTGCTGTCACCAATCACAGCAGGTCACATGACAGTTGTATACAATGGATGGCTTCATTCATGCCATCCATTGTATACTAGTGTGCCTAGCTGTGAATGGTCACAGTGATCACATGCACAAGCTGGGCCATGTGATTAGCTGTGGCCAAATCACAGCTAAGCACAAAAAAAAAAAAAAAAAAAAAAAGCCCTGAATGAATCGATGTCATTCAAGGTAAATGCTTGCTTATAGCAAAGTAATTCTTTGCTATAAGCAAATTGTGTAAAAAAAAAAATACTGATCACTTCCCCAAAATATCACAATGTTACTATGGTAACATTGTACTACTTTGGTCATAGTGTAATATGAAAAAAAAAATCTTAGAAAAAAAGAAAAAAATTTAATAAATAATTAAAAAAATATTTATTTTTTTTCATACTGTCACCAGTCAGTGTCCCTGATCACCGCCATGCCAGTTATATGTTGACGGTGTACTGCACTGGTAACAGTATGTAAAAAAAAAAAAAAAAATAGTGAAAATAATTTTTTTAATTTTTTCATTTTCCGAAATTTTCTGACAAAATAAATACAACTTCGAAAAACTCGCCATTTCTCTTATGAAGTACGTTCAGACTGTCTACTTTGCAAAAAGGGTCATTTGGAGGATATCTGTACTGTTCTGACATTCTTGGACCTCAAGAAATTAGATTGGCTGTCAGTACTTCAGGATTGATCAATATTCAGATCTATACCATAGTTTGTGAACTCTATAACTTTCCTAAAAACTAAAAAATACATCCTAATTTGGGTTTATTTTCACCAAAGACATGTAGCAGAATACATCTCGGCCTAAATTTATGAAGAACAATTATTTATTTGCAAACTTTTATAACAGAAACAAAGAAAAACGTGTTTTTTTTTTTCAAAATTTTGGTCTTTTTTTGTTAATTTAGCAAAAAATAAAAAACCCCAGCAGTGATTAAATACCACCAAAAGAAAGCTCTAGTTGTGTGAAGAAAATTATAAAATTTTAGTTTGGGTACAATGTTGTATGACCGCGCAATTGTCATTCAAAGTGTGAGAGCGCTGAAACCTGAAAAAATGGCCTGGGCAAGAAGGGGGTAAAAGTGCCCGGTATGGAAGAGGTTAAAAAGTAAAAAATAACTGTGATTATAAATGGATTCATATGATAACTACCCTTAAATAAAAGTTAGTTTTTTGGCATGATCAGTCATATTTTCAATATCAATGTCATGATTTCTGCCAGGGTATGCAAACTTTTGAGCACAGCTGTATGTAGTGCAAGGTCCTCGCAGATTGGATACATATTAAAATGTTTAGGGATGTTCTCATATTACACAGTGATGATAAATCTAAGATTGAATGGACAGCAATCATATGGTCAGATTGTAATGTGTGTGGTGAGCCTAAAGTAAATCGGCAACTTTTACCAAAAGCATGCATGTCTCTCTAAGCAGGGTCAGCATAGTATAGCACAGTCCTGCAAAGAGTTGCCCTAGGTTCACACCTAAGCGTTTTCTACAGCGTTTTGCAGAAACGCAGTACAGTCCATTTAACATGATTTCCTATGGGACAGGTTTACATCTCCACATTTTCACCCGTTGCGTTTTTTGGAAAGGGTCAGGGACTTTTTTGAATGCAAAAAGTTGTGTTTTTGTTTCTATAGACTTAAATGAAAAAGCTGCAGAAAAGCATGTATTGCATTTTTGACGCGTTTGACGCGTTTTGCATTTTAAATCTGCCAACAAGAAAAATAAAAATAAATTGAAAAAAAAGCACGGCAAAAACACAAGTGTAAAACGCAGTGCAGAAACCGCTAAAAGCAACCTGCATAGGTGTGAACCTAGCCTAAATCCTTTTATAATTGACTGCCATACAGAAGAAATGCATGTGTAACTTGTTGGAGCAATGTCTTTTTCTGCGCCGTATTGCAATGCTGCTGAGACCATTCTTGAAGGGCTTGTTATGGTGAATATCATCCCCTGAATTATTTGTGTGTGTAATATATATACTTTAATGCCATTCGACCTGTGTGTGTCGCCTTCAGTAAAACTTCACTGAGGTTTCAAACTTTGCCTACACTATCCAAAATGGAAAAAAAAAAGAAATTTCTATCTGTGTGTGTATATATATATATATGTGTGTGTGTGTGTATATATATATATATATATATATATGTATATATATATATATATATATATATATATATATATATATATATTATTATTTTATTCATTTTGGATAGTGTAGGCAAAGTTTGAAACCTCTGTGATGGTTTACTGTTTTCTGGATGCTGATTGGGGAGATTTACTTTTGCTTCCTATTAAACAGACTAGCAGAGATTCTAACGTATGCCTACCTTGCTATAATTATAAGCTCTCTTGAATAGATTTCCCTCATTGTTTTTCATAAGGAAGCTAAGAAAATTCTCCCTAAAATTTACAGACCGCAAAATAAATCTTGGTAGAAGCTATATACTCTCTCCAGAGTAAAGGGGAACCATTTTTGTCAGTCTCTCTATAAGATAACCTCAAAAGAGAAGTGTGGGGTTTGTTTTTTTTCTAAATGATACTTCCCTACAGTGGATATAAAAAGTCTACAACACCCCTGTTAAAATGTCAGGTTTCTGTGAAAATTTGAGACAAAGATAAATCATTTCAGAACATTTTCCACCTTTTTAATGTAACCTATAAACTGTACAACAAAGTTTAACAACAAACAAATCTTTTAGGTGGAGGGAAGTAAAAATAAAAAAACTAAAATATGGTTGCATAAGTGTGCACACCCTTAAACTAATACTTTGCTGAAGCACCTTTTGATCTTATTACAGCACTCAGTCTTTTTGGGTATGAGTCTATCAGCATGGCACATCTTGACTCGGTAATATTTGCCCACTCTTCATTGCAAAAACACTCCAAATCTGTCAGCTTGCGAGGGCATCTCCTGTGCACAACCCTCTTCAGATCACCCCACAGATTTTCGATAGGATTCAGGTCTGAGCTCTGGCTGGGCCATTCCAAAACTATAATCTTCTGGTGAAGCCATTCCTTTGTTGATTTGGATGTATGCTTTTGGGTCATTGTCATGCTGAAAGATTACGTTCCTCTTCATGTTTCTCTCTAGTGGTTCTCTCTAGTTCCCTGGTCTCCTCCTCCCATGCCCGCCTTCAGGACTTCTCCAGGGTGTCACCCATCCTCTGGAACTCCCTGCCCCAACCCATCAGATTATCACCTACTCTCCTCTCCTTTAGGCGCACCCTGAAAACCCACCTCTTTAGGGAAGCCTACCCCGCCCCCTGCTAACTTGCCGACCTCCTCCACTCTTCCTACCACTCCATCCCCCACAGCTTTCTCCTCCTGTGCCACCATCCCCTCCCTCCTAGATTGTAAGATCAAAAGAGCAGGGCCCTCAATCCCCTCATGTTTTGCATTGTATTGTTATTGTTCTGTCACATGTTCTGTCCCCTTTGTAATGTACAGCGCTGAGCGAACTATTGGCGCTTTATAAATACTGTATTATAATAATAATAATAAATAATAATAAAAAATGTTCAGCTTTCTATCAGAAGCCTGAAGGTTTTTCTGCCAGTATTGACTAGTATTTGGAACTGTTGATAATTCCCTCTACCTTGACTAAGGCCCCAGTTCCATCTGAAGAAAAACAGCCCCAAAGCATGATGCTGCCACCACCATGCTTGACTGTGGGTATGGTGTTCTTTTGGTGATGTGCAGTGTTGTCTTTTGGAATTATGGCCAAAAAGTTCAACCTTGGTTTCATCAGACCCTAACACATTTTCTCACCTGCTTTTGGGAGACTTCAGATGTGTTTTTGCAGAATTTAGCCGGGCTTGGATGTTTTTCTGCGTAAGAAAAGGCTTTCATCTTGCCACTCTACCCCATAACCCAGACATATGAAGAATACGGGAGATTGTTGTCACATGTACCACACAGCTGGTACTTGCCAGATATTCCTGCAGTTCCTTTAATGTTGCTGTAGGCCTCTTTGCAGCCTCCCAGACCACTTTTCGTCTCGTCTTTTCATCAATTTTGGAGGGACGTCCAGTTCTTGGTAATGTCACTGTTGTGCCATATTTTCTCCACTTGATGATGACTGTCTTCCCTGTGTTCCATGGTATATCTAATGCCTTGGAAATTCTTTTGTACCCTTCTCCTGACTGATCACTTTTAACAATGAGATCCCTCTGATGCTTTGGAAGCTCTCTGCGGACCATGGCTTTTGCTGTAGGATGTGACTAAGAAAATGTCAGGAAAGACTTACTAGAACAGCTGAACTTTATTTGGGGTTAATCAGAGGCACTTTAAATGATGGCAGGTGTTTACTGACTCCTATTTAACATGATTTTGAATGTGATTGCTTAATTGTGAACACCGCTGCCCTCAGTTAGAAGAGGGTGTGCACACTTGTGCAACCAGATTATTTTAGTTTTTTATATTTATTCCCCCCCTAAAAGATTTCAGTTTGTTTTTCAATTGAGTTGTACAGTTTATAGGTTTCATTAAAGGAAAAAGTTCTGAAATGATTTATCTTTGTCTCTTTTTTTACATCACAGAAACCTGAAATTTTAATGGGGTGTGTAGACTTTTTATATCCACTGTAGGTGGATACAGCATCGGTGCGATGCTGCATTTGTCCCCCGCCAGCTCTGAGTTTGAGAACTGAGCAATCACTTGACCTCTGATAGCGGAGTTCTGAGCGGTGACTGTCAGTCACCGCTGTCTGCTCTGCATCCCCCGTGCTTACTGGAGCGATGGGCTGTGGAGGAGGAGGGAGAAGCTGGCTCTGGCTCTCAGTGGCTCGCTGAGAGGAATAGCCAGGTGCCACTCCAGACACTGGGGTGATCCCGACTTTAAAGTCGGGATCTTTCACCAGCCTAGACAGGCTGAGTGACATCAGCCAACAGCAAGCCTCAGCCCACTGTCCGCTGAAAATAGGTCACAGGAGTGCAGAATGAACTGCACTCCTGTGATCCACAGGAGACGTACAACCAAAATAGCTTTGGCTGTACTTCTCCTGTAACTAATTTTACCATTGATTTTATATTTCCCTGCCTAAAGCAAACCTATGTTTTACCCATGCAGTAAGAAGCAACCTGTTCACTTATTTGTCTGCCCTTCTGCTTCTAATACTCGCCTTCTCTTGGCTTCCCTGCCTCTCCATTTTGCTGTGTGAGGGAAATGACATACCATGTACTTCTCCTATGATAAAATGTTCAGTGTCCAAACAACCATTCTCCAGTCCCAAGTGTTGTCACATGTGGGTGAAGAGAGATGTCTTAACAGAATGTAAACTCTGACCAGACTGACTTGGCTCTTACATAGGGGTTGATTTACTAAAATTGGAGAGTGCAAAGTTTGGTGCAGCTGTGCATGGTAGCCAGTCGGCTTCTAATTTCAGTTTATTCAATTAAGTTTTGACAAAAAAAAACCTGGAAGCTGGTTTCTCTGCAGAGCTGCACCAGATTTTGCACTCTCCAGTTTTATTAAATCAACCCCATAGTGTTTTCTTTTTGCTTCAACTGGCGAAAAGTTTAATATAGGCAGAGTGCAGGGCAAACAATTATATGACCTTTGCTTTGCTTCTGTAGGGTTAATAGGTTCAATTTAATAGCTATTTTTTAAGACTATCACATATTTGGCTAATACTGTTTATCTTTTGTTGCAGAATTTGCCAGAGAAATCTCGCAAAGTCTTTCGAATATTCAGACAGTGGCAGGCAAGTGTTTCCTCTTGAAGACAAGAGGGTGATCATTCTATGGAGATTTCCAGTTTCATGTCCAACCACCAAACAATCAGCTGGCGTCAAACAGATGTGTGTGTGTTATGTAACGGCAAGCTTTGCTTGAAGTTATCTGTGTAATGTGCTGTGCTATCAGAACAACAAATTTAGGATTTCTGTGTCTACGTTGAGTCTACATAATTGCATACAGGTAAACAGTAGGTCGCAGATGTGTGGGGAATAGCTCCCAGATGTGTGGCCAGTGAAAACTTTATAATAGTAAACTCTAAGATGTTACAGCCTAATACATGTCTAATACAAGGTATCGCTTAAAAAACATTCCTGATAGTGACACACTTATTGGAAATTTTATGTATAAACACTGTTTTCAGTACTTTTTCTGGAGCTGAAATGTTTTTTGTAATGTTTTTGGGATATCTAGATTTTCAACTTCATATAACAGCAGACCACCGTGTTCTTTTTATTTCTTATGGTTTTGGAGACTTTAGTAAATAAATCCAAATATTGTTGCAGCTCAACTTCAAAGAACATAAATTGTAGTGTATTGAATAAATTAGGTTTATTCGATTCATTATTTACAATATTTTCTGACACAAGTTCTACAATTTCTAAACGGTGGAGGGAATTAATAGGTGTCTGAGACCAACTGTCTCTCAACTGGAGTGCAGCCAATCAGGGATTAGCTCAGGCGTGTTTGGATATGAGTTCAAACCCTCCTGAGTTATCTCTCCAGGAAGCTGTCAAAGCCAGCAGCCAGTCATAGGTGGTGGAGGCATTCCCAGCCTCACACATACACTCCCCTTGCATACCTGCAACTGCAGAGTGGGGAATGCCTCTGCCGCTTATGTTTGGCTGTTGCCTTTGACAGCTTCTCGCTGTGATAGCGCAAGCATGCTTGGACGCATGTTTTAATTTGTCTGAGCTCATTCCTACAGTTAATCAGCCTGTAAATGTTCATTTTCTAAGCTGTGTGGAAAGATAGACACTGTTAAAACTTCTAAAATCTAAAAGCCTTCACAGAATATATAAATGAGAGAGAAGCAAGAATCTGATTGATTGAAAAAAAATATATTTTTTGATGCATGATAAATATTGTACATTTTCTGTAGGAGAGAATAATTTGTGTGTTTGACGTTATTATTGATCAGAAGCAATTATTTACAGTTGGTCTCTTTTTTTGGATCTGCATTTATTCCAGAGATTTGATCTTGTATGTATTTGTGTACCATAAGAAAACCGCATAGAATTAAGATATTGCTGTTTTTCTTACATTGCAACTAGTAAATATCAGAATAAAATCTTTCATCCCAACTAAATTACCTGCTGTTTTGTAGCAATAGAAAATTTTATGTGTACTAATGAAATCTCTGCAATTATTTTACATTCTTTTTGGGCAGTGAACCATCACAGTAAACACATTGAAAGTACGAGAAACTTGCTAGTTACCTTGCTCTAATATTTGTCATCTTGCTCCAGTACTTTTAACACTAACCTAAAAAAAAATATGTGGCTCAGGATTTCTGTCTTCACTTGCTGCATGCTTGTTTTAGGCCAATAGCATAGATAATTTAACCTGCAAACCAAGCTACTAGCATTTTAGGAGTTTGACAATGAGATTGCCTTTATGTTTGCTGTGTTTAAAAATATATGGTTTTAATGAGATGAATGAGTGGAGCATTGAGGTCCAGGGAACTGGTCCCATTAAAATGTGCAAATTCTGTGTTTTAGTGGAACATACCTCTCTCATCCAACTCTGTCAACACATAGCTGACACCTCCAGATTGTGTTTCAGTTTCATTACCTTCATTGCTTTCCTATGTTATTCGTAAGATGTATTGAGTTTCTGATCTTGGCATCATCCACCTCTTTCACTTCACTTTTGGCCCATTAGTATGATGTGTATCCTCGCTGGTCAATATAGAGGCTTAGGAGGCAAGAGGAGTGGGTTAGGCTCTTAATTGACTAAAAATTGCTAACCCCAGACTGACGCTATTCAACAAATTTGACAAATGTGAATAGGCCCTGGAAGGATAAGGACCTGTGTCGATGTGGCTTTTGTCCATTCAGAGCTACTTTTCTATGGGAATGCAACAGCCACCAAATCAGATCAACTGCCCCAGCAATGAATTCTGAATGATCCCAGAAGCATCTCAAACATATGTCAAAAGCATGGTGCATTTGCTCGACAAGCCTGTCAACACAGACCCTAAAGTTGGCTTAACTTGCAGTTTTACATAAATTGGCATTCTTGTTGGTAATCTAGTCATCTGCACTCATGTGAAATGACAGCTATAGTTTTAGTCAGCTCTCTGGCTGTTAATCATTACCCAAGTCATTATATGCTTGTATATTACTGTTAAAAGTTATGCATAGTAGTACACTTACCTGTAGATGTTTGTAAGGAAAAGTTCAGTGTTCCCCCCCCCCCCCCACTCAGATTGCAGTCACCCTGCTTTCAGTGTATAGAGTGCCCCATTCCCTCCCCTACACCCAGCTCTGGGTCCCCGAGCCCAGATTTGCATTGTTGCCTCTGGCACTGTTCGCCCGATGTAGTGGTATATTGTACCAGAAGGTATACGCTACAGCTTCAGAAATACAGTGGGGTTGATTTACTAAATTTAAAGAGTGCAAAATCTGGTGCAGCTCTGCATAGAAAATAATCCGTTACCAGGTTTGTTTGTTTTTTTTTCGTAACTTAATTGAACAAGCTGGCGTTAGAAGCTGATCGACTACCATGCACAGCTGCACCAGATTTTTCTCTCTCCCAGTTTTAGTAAATCAACCCCAGTGTGTTTTTTTTTTTTTTTGTGTGTGCGTGTGTGATAGCGCACAGCAGTAGCAGCAATTGATAATGGTGGATGCATGTCCAAAATAAAAAAAAATATTTATCGGTTATGTAGATTTGTACATATATTCATTTTTTTCAATAATCTTAATTTAGGATTTCAAGGTACATGCAGGGAGATAACCATTGAGGTGTGAAAGAGCACCCAACCGCATTGTTTAAATGGGTAGAAGAAGTAAAACATAAATCACAGGATTAGAGAAATATCACTGATGATAACATTTCATGCAATTACAATGTGACCCACCATATTCAGACTCTAACTTTAATGCAAATTGATAAAATAAAGTGGATTATGAGGTACTGTAGGTGCAACCAGAGAAATAATGAACCACCTAATAGTTTAAAAGGTAAGGTGTTTTTATTTTCATCTATTTCCATCCCTTCTGGGGTAATCTGGGAGTGGTATGTGAACAGTAGAGAAAAAGAAGTAACGCAAAGTAAGAAAAAAATAGTTGAGAGAAAATGGGGAGGTGGTTGCTTTCCCTGGGCTTGCCAACTCCTGGCCAAAGTCATACACTATATTGCCAAAAGTATTGGGACACCTCTCCAAATCATTGGATTCAGGTGTTCCAATGACCTCCATGGCCACAGGTGTATAAAATCAATTTAGGTTGAAACAATGTGAGTGCACTTCTAGAAGTTCTGCAGATATACCTTTTTTTTTTTTTTTTTTTTTTTTTTTTATTTGCAAGTGACATAATTGGCACCTTGCTTAATTTTTAGCCTGGGTGTAGAGGTGGCAAGGTTTGCTGGCCATACTGAGGATGGTCATTTTTCTCCTTCCATATTTCTTGGAAGCACTAAAAGCTCTATTGAGATCTGTGTATCCTCAGTTAGCCATGTAAGCCTAAGAGGATTTAAACTAGGTTATAATACCTTGTATGAATACAGTAGTACTATCACTGGCCTGGAAAGTGCACAACTGGTCTAGGTCATCAACTCCAGCTATTATTACTTTTTGTGGAAAGATGACGTGTTTTATTATATATGCCTAATGTTTGTTATTATTAGGTCCTATTAGTTTCATCTGGCTTACTTGTCTGTTCAGATCATTTTCTGCTTATTTTCATCTTATTGATCCATTATACATACAGTATACAGGCTTGGCTGATATAGTATAATTTTTGCTGCTTTAAAATATAATATGTATTGCCTACACAAATTAGGTTATGTAGATGATAATAGATTGTAGATGACAATCAGTCTTTTATCAACGACAGGCAATTTGACATTTAGATTCTATATTATTATTATTCCACATATTGAAAACTGTTTTGTTCCGCCTAGTGGAGCTAAGTAAGGTTAATTTTGATGGTGGCTTGTCTTTGCACTTATTTTCTAGCTGTACTATCCAACGTGTCCCTTAATAACAATAGCATAAAGGCTTAGTTTTTGTGAGTGTGTTTAAAAATAAACTTATAGGTTCTTATGGAGCTTTCTGTTTTTTAAACCTTATGAGCTTGTCAATTATGAACTAATATTAATTGTGACTTGTCTGTTTATAAATTGCAGTATTATGATCTGAGGTAGTTTACAGAGGAACTATTAATTGTTCTTCAGTACCTGGTGTAGTAGCAAAACTAGCTCATCAGAGTTGGACGCGGAGTTCCCCTTTTTCTTTTAATGGAAGTATTCCTTATTCCTCACACTCCCTACCCCCTCCCTTCCTGAGAGGCAAACTTATCTCCTGACAGATGGGGGGGGGGGGTCAACCACAGGTTAGGCATCCCTAGTTGGTGCCAGCAGTCTGGGAAAGTGTAAACTTTCTCCCCCATCATAATCAAGATAAGATAGCTTCTCTCCAAACTTGAAAGAAAATTGAACATTCCTCAAGTCAGGCTTTCCCCCCGATGTTTCATGTCATGGATTATGACAGATGTTGGCTCTAATTCAGAGTTCCCTACTGACTCCTCCCAAAACTGCGTAGTCAGAGCAACCCCCCTTTCAGAGGGATTTTTTATAAAAGAGACAGGCTAGCAAGCCTGCAAGTTAGAGTGTAACAGATCTCCTAGCTACCATCCAAGGAGGAGATCAAAGAACCTTCCTGCTCTGCACCGTGGATCTGCTTACAAACCAAGGCTTAAATTGGCAAGTAACTTAGCCCTGTAACTTCTTTCCTATTACCTCTTTGCTGTATCTTTATATC